ATATGACATTTAATAATTGGCAAAATCCAAATATGAACTTGTATGCTATTTGTGCAATTTGCATATTTTTCATCAGATTTCTATATGAGATCTATATTCAATATAAGTTTTTTCCACCATAGTTGTACCTCAGAGGTCTAGTTGACTCATAAAATAATTATTTAAAAATCTTAGCATTTAAAGACTCATGTTTGTGGAAACAACTAAGACAGTTATAGATAACTACTGCTGTTGAAAATATTCTTTTATATCAACTTTATAGATTTGGAGACAATAGGAGAAGCCCACATTTAGTGAAGTTCACCAATTGTCTAAATCTTTATTGAAAACACACAGCTTAAATACACTTCAGTAAAGAATTTCCGTCCAGCAAAATAGAATTAATTATTTCCTAATGTAATGTTTACTCTTTATTCTCTGGAATTCAGCAGTTGTTTTAAGCTTTTCTCATTTTCAAGAACATTCTTTTTGCAATTAGTTGCTTTAAAGAGATAGTTCACCCAAAACAAAAACAAAACAAAAAAAATCTACTGAGCATTTGTTCACCCTCAAGTGGTTCCAAACTTTGAGTTCACTTTTCATGTTCAATACAAAAGAAGGTATTTTGAAAACCTGTAACTATTGACAAACATAGTTGAAAAAACAAGTAATATGCAAGTTAATGGTTACAATATTTTTCAAAATAACTTATTTTGTGTCAAAAAAGAAAACAAAAACAAAAAATTTTCATAACAAAAAAGCAAATTAAACAGGTATGTTACAAGTGAAGGGTGAGTAAATGATGAGAGAATTTTCTGTTTTGCCTAAACCATCCCTTTAAGAAATTAGACACATCAAACAAGAAACATCTTATGAAGCAATTAAATCTTAAAATGAAACTATTAAAAATATATTTTGATGATGAACTTGCTCAGGTGTTTGCGGAATTATTAAATCAGCTTTTGTGATGGGCGTGAGATGAGTGCAGGTCACTGGTTAGTCTACTAATCCAATCACATTATCTGTTGAGGCAAAATCACATGACTGTGCGCATCAAGGAATTCATTCAGTAAATGCGTTTCTGTTGTAGTTTATACAAATTTTTATCAGATTATGATATCCTACTCAATTGGCTGCATATTTATTATGCATATTTTTATAATTGATGTGGTCTTTTAACTAATTATGCAATAATTTAAAATATACGTAAAATATTTGGATGGAAACAACTTGCATCTGGAGACAACAGCATCTTTTCCAGCACACACACATATACAGTTGCCAAAGGGTGCATGGGTGTCTGTTTTATGTGATAATGCTATGCTGCCCTGTGGGCTTGTCTCTGGGGATGGTTTACTGTGTGTGTCTGTGACAGAAGGCTGGTGCAAAAAGGGACTCAGGGGACATTAGAGACAAGGGACAAATTAGATAGACATTCACTCAGAATAGTCACTTAGAGTGCTATGTTTAAATGGTAAAATGAGCGTTTGATTAAAGAACAGTTCATTTAAATTTATTCCAAACACCTCCAGTATCCAAACTTCATCATCAGTGTCTTTACATTCACACTCCTCAAACTCCAACCCTCTCCTTAGGCTAGAAAGTTACTGATTTGCTCAGCCACAAGGCACAGGCTGCATTTCAGCTGTAAGGGAATTAGAAAGATCCATCATGCAAACACACACACACACACACATACAGGATGAGAGTTATGGCAGCAGTAGCGGCTGGTCACACCCTGTGCTGCATTGCAGATGCCCTGCTATACCCACTTCCTTTCTGCTCCTCATGTCTGTACATCCATAATGGATTTATAGGAGTGTGTGGCACAATTCACAGGTCTGTCCTTTACGTTTGGTCTAATTGTGGTCTGCATGATGATAAACACACAGATCGGTGCTGAAGGCCAAAGGCCATCACTGGGAAGTGTGTGTATAGGAAATGAAATTTCCCTTTAACGTAATGCATTGTACTATATACTCACAGCTCTGGGCTGCAGAGCAATGTTTGTTGAAATTTTAAGTACATAGTTTATCTTCAGCTGTCGACCGCAAGTTTTCCAGACTTCTGTTATGCATGGCCTGCTGACAGATTGAGAAAGAGAAGAATTAGGTTGGTAGAGAAATTGAACAATACACTAGTGGAAATCAGATTATGAAATGAGCCCTTGTTAGACGGGGGAGGCATTTTATACAATCCACAAATGTTGCTCTTTAAATGCTTTTCTTTTTATATTACCTTAAAATTTTTATTGTATCATTCTCACATCGCTAAATACACAAACAATACAGTACTACTTGAAATGTACTACTTTAATACTACTTGAAAATTCTCACTGTATTCTTAGTGGGGCTGTACATTATATCATCTCAGCATCAATATCACATCTGCAATAATCACATTGCAGGATCTGCAATGTTGAGTTGGGTTTAAAGTTGATGAGCACCACAGTTCAGAATGCATGAGATTTGTGGAGTCACTCAAAATATAACAATAACAGGGTGACAGGCCTTTACTGCTTTTGCACCATGTGCTTAAGACTTTGCGCCTAGATTGTTAAATATATAGCCCAAAGACTTTTTTTCCCACTTTTATCTTGACTCTATTGTATTTAAATTTACATTGCAATTTGTTTACTATTTTTTATGCATGATTCACTCTCCTACACAATCACCACAATCAATTTAAATGACTGATTTCTTTCCAAATAGAGCTATTCAAGCCATCTAGTGAAATTGTATTCATATCACAATATATTATATTGCAGAAAAGCTAAAAATAGTTATGTCAGATTTTTTCCTATATCATGATGCTCTAATTCTCAGCCCTATTAAACACAACCAATAATCGATCAATTTGCAGCACATACAAATCCCAGTAAAAAAATCTATACTAAAACAAAACAATTCCAATCATTAAACACCAAATCAAGAGGGACAAACAGAGGTAATAGAGCATTCCACTATCTGGGACCTGCTACTGCAAAAGCACAGTCACCCGTGCATTTCAGCTACAGTTTTGGGATGCAAAATCTTTGTTTTTCTGTCACTTTTTTGTAGCCATTGCCAGTTTTGTTGCGGCTTCTGTTTTTTGTTTTACCAAAATTTAAAATAAAGCATTGTCCCTAAACATTTTGGTTTTGCATGAATTAACAAAAAGGTGCCATGTTTATATTCCTTTGAGACCACACAAGGCTAATTTTTGACTTCAGAAAAGTTAAATATTAATATTTTGTGTCTTTTAGTCACAACGAATGAAAACATTTAGAATTCTGACCAATGGTCAAAAAAAAAAAAAAAAATTTTGAAATGATTTGTTATGAATGTTGATACACTAAAGTAAACTAAAGTGTCAACGTGTCATATTGTGTATCTTTCTGTCTCCTGTCATGTATATATTTAGGTACTCAATGTCAATGTGCTTTCCAGTGAGCATGTCTGAAGGAGCTAAACCATCATGACAACTTGCACATCTCATGCACACACACACACAGAGAGACACACCACCTCCAGCACCGACAAATTAGATCATATATAGACATCCTGATAGATCACAGATAGACATCTTGTCACATGTGCTACAACTTCAGAGCAACAAAGCAGAGAGAAATACATGCCAGCACAGCAGCTCTTCCTATATGTATAGGCATGTAATATATATATATATATATATATATATATATATATATATATATATATATATATATATATATATATATATATATATATATTAGGCACTCAATGTCAATTTGCTTTCCAGTTGTCATGTCTGATGGAGCTAAAGCATCATGACACCATCATGACAACTCGCCCATCACACACACACCACCTCCAGCACAGACACATTAGATCACAAATAGTCTCGCACATCCTGTCACATGTGCTTTTACCAACACAAGCACCTTCAGACCAAAGCTCAGGGAAATACACAGTAATACACAGCAGCACTTGACACACAGCAGAGCTGCCCCACTCGCATATATTATTTATTTCACAGAGCATAAGTCAAGCCTCATTTTAATGTCAACTATTTGTTGGTGGAGGGACACATACCAAATTCTTAAATTAAAGTTAAGACACCCTTTGACTATTTACAGTGCTCAGCATAAATAAGTACACCCCTCACAAAATGTATATTTTAAATTCATAATTTAACAGGAAGCTATACAGTATTCTATTTGTGTCTATATATTACATTAGTCAGTACTGAAGCCTAATCTAGAGCTTATCTAACAAAATAACTTACAATAACAGTCCAAAAACTAGTACAGCCAATTGTATATGTTATAGAAAAATAAAAAATACAAATAAAAAAAGAGGAAAAATCAAGAAGAAAAAAAATAGAAAAATGTATCTTTGCAATGTTTAGCTTGAATTTAATTGTATTATCTTTCCATTTCTAAATATGTTTGGTGACTAAAATGTTATTTTAATAAACATTTCTGTTTAATAAATATGTTTTGTTTAAATGCACCAAAATACATTGCCTATATTCACTGAGAAATGGATACAAATATTCATTTTCAAAATAGGGTGTAGTCAATTATGCTCAGGACTGTAATTATTAGCCCCTCTTTGAATTTTTTTCCTTTTTTTTATATTTCCCAAATAATGTTTAACAGAGCAAAGACATTTTCACAGTATGTCTGGTAATATTTTTTCCTCTGGAGAAAGTCGTATTTGTTTTATTTCAGCTAGAATAAAATCAGTTTTTTATTTATTTATTTATTTATTTATTTTTACTATTTTAGGTCAAAATGATTAGCCCCTTTAAGCTATTTTTTTAATGGTCTACAGAACAAATCATCGTTTTATAATAATTTGCCTAATTACCCTAACCTGCCTAGTTAACCTAATTAACCTAGTTAAGCCTAATTGAAAAATGTACTTTCATGTAAGTACAGTATGGAACAAAATATTACCGTCCACTGCTATGATTTACTCAGCATTTTCTCCCTACATATTTCTGCTGTATGGTTGACATTTCATGACTAATGACATGCTAACTTGTTTTGTTTGTAGTTCTGTGCATATGGAGGAGGCATCAGCTGTGATGCAAGGAGCGCAAGGCATGCTGGTCCAGAATTGGCCCACGGTTTCCAGCGCAGCAGGTGAGGTCACATCTTAAAAGACATCCGCTTCGCTAACCGAGTGTAATTAAATCTTAATCATCCGAAACCAACATCTCAATCATCTTCCTGCAATACTTCATGCTCTTGCTAATCTGATAATTTTCTCTCTAGCAAAATTATCATGTTCATCAACCTATTACATCTGTTCTAATTAATATGCATATGCATAGGGTGAATCTGAAATTCCCGTAACCAATCTCAGGTATGAATCCAGACTGAATTAAAGTTTTGACCCAAACTGAAGCTAATTCAAACTGACATGAATTCATGCATGTTTAAAACAACTGTTTAAAGCAGGTTGTGTTTATCCATGCAGAAATGTCAGTTCTTTCTCTCTTCTCTGTCTTCTTTTTGCTCTTTTATGGCATTGTATTCCCTGAAAGATCTCCGATATAAGTACAGGGTGTTCTTTCCATTGCAATACAGCTGCTTGATATAAAACGACAAGGAGCAAGTCTGAAAGTCTTGCTTAAGATTTACCATTATTTTTTGTGACAATAGCTTGCTGTTGTGTGGTGGCACATCTACAGACCTACTATCATATTCTTACATAGTACATAATTTATTATTAATAAGCACAGATATAATAAGGCCAGTCCTCCTGTGACAGGATTTTTAGTTTAGTTTTGAGTCCCTCAAATTCAACCCAGTGTCATTGGAAAACATGCCTATATGAAACTCTTCATTTTTGTAGATAAAATGAAAACTAAAGGGGAAAACACTGATTATTGCAGGAGCAGATTATCTTAAATTATTATATAAAATAATTTTGTCGTAGCACATTTGTGAAGGAGTAATTTTTTTTTTACATTACATTTCTGTATCCATTTCTAAGATAGTAAACTTGCTCTTTAGCACACCTGATACAGTGTTGAAGTTGTGTTATGTGAATTTTGTGAAATATGGTTCAACAAGAGTGTAAAAATCAGATTTAGAGTTAGGTTTAGAGTACAAGACTTAAACAAGTGCTGTATGATATAAAAAAAAAAAAAAAAAACTAATGTTGCGATGTTTTGTTATTCTGCAATATACAGTTAAAGTCTTATTAATTATTATTAGCCCTCCTGAATTATGAGCCTTGTTTATTTATTCCCCAATTTTAACTTAACGGAGAAAAGATTTTTACAACACATTTCTAAACATAATAGTTTAAATAACTCATTTCTATTAACTGACTTATTTTATATTTGCCATCATAACAGTAAATAATATTTGACTAGATATTTTTCAAGACACTTCTATACAGCTTAATCTGACATTTAAATGCATAACAAGGTTGATTAAGTGAACTAGGCAGGTTAGGGTAATTAGGCAAGTTATAGTATAAAGATGGTTTGTTCTGTCGACTATTGATGAAAAAAAATATATAGCTTAAAGGGTCTAATAATTTTGACCTTAAAATCTTTTTTAAAAATTAAAAACTTTTATTTTTTTACTAGCTAAAATAAAACAAATAAGACAGGAGGAAATATTATCAGACATAGTGTGAAATTTCTTTGCTCTATTAAACATAATTTGGGAAATATTTAAAAAAGGAACTGTATTCATGTACAGTAATTGAATAATAAAAAGAATTCAGTATAATTTTTTGTTTTTAAAGTTAAAAACAGTGCAATTTTTGAATGCTTTTAAAATCATCATACAGACACAGGCCTCAAAAACCCATGTAAATGATATATTATAATACAAACTCAAAATATTCTGTGATATAACTATTGGCAATGATCACATTGCAGTATCGATGCTGAAACAATATATTGTGCAGACCTAATTTAAACCTTAAAGTTAACTTTTTAGCCCCTGTCATTTTTTTTTTCTCAGCATGAACTGTAAAAAAGCACTTGCAGAGTCACACTTATCTGATTCAGGGGGGAAATAAACATGCTCAATGCTATAATGTTTAAATGTTATTCTGTATTGTCTAGCAACATGCATTATTTTGCAAAATTTGGCCAAGGGCATGTTTAGCTGTGAAAAAAATAATTACTTCAAAGTTCTGAAAATATATCATTTGAAATAAGTATATGATAACGGTAATAAATTATTTGCATAAAATCATATTAGGTCAATATTTTTGTTTTATTCTGTGTCCTCAGATCTTAAATATATATGACAAAATATGTGTAGAAATACAGGTTGATTCAAAAAGAAAACAACAACTTTAAAAATAGAGAACTCTGCGAAAAAGAAAAGGAGAGCTAAGATCTTTCTGTCATCGATTTAAGGAAGCTCTAAAGTTTTGAAAAACTTTGTTAAGCACTCTTCACATTGATTAATTATCCAAGGGTCCATCATGGCTCTATGATTAAATGCAGATTTTCAAAGTTGTGATATTATTTTTTAATAATCCTGCATATAAATGTGAAATATGAATCAACTATTTCCCAATATTTAAGGTGGTAAAGCATTAAATAATTTATGCTGACCTTTTTGTCATTTCCTACAAATTAATCTTCTGAAAAGCTATGTTTCCATCCAAAAATGTGAATAAATTTATGCACAAAACTGGAATATTGCATAAAAGACATAAAATCGCATAAAGCAGCGTTTCCATTTAATCAGTCAAAGAGAATAAAATAGTCACTTCCTAATTTACAGGTGCCAAATATCAAAAGAAAAAACAGAATTTGCTGAGGTAGGAGAAGCTGCATGAATCTTTTCTTTATTTTATAAACAACTTTCACCTCAGAAGACGATACCGACGCGCAATCAACGCCTAGTGGCGTTTGAAGCTACGAGATGCAGACAGAGCGCAGACGCTCTTGACAGTCATCAATAATAAAACAAATAAAGCACTAATACTGAAACGGTTAAGGTGTTTTAGAATGATGTTTTTGCAATGTGCTCAGCCTGCTGATATGTCCATTCACACACATTTTTATCAACACATGATATCTTATAATAAAATCACATGACCTTTTTAATGTGAATACTGTAATTAGTTTGGTAAAAGTGTTTCCATCATAGTTTATGCGCATCTTTTCTTATCGAGTAAAAAGTTTATCCTACTCAGTTATATGCATCAATTTTTTATGTGCATTTTCATAATTTAATGCGTATCTTGGCATTTCTATCAAGCATTTTTTTATGCGCATATCCAAAATGTGCATAAAATAGGTGGATGGAAACATAGCTAATGACAACATTCGTATTTACAGTTTAGATGCTATCAATATAACATAAAATAAAATAAAACAACATTTTACTTTAAACCTATACCTATTAAATGATAAATCAGGGAACCAACAACAAAAAATTTGTGTCTTTTATTCCAGAGCTGTATTTGCCATGAGTCTTTGTTGCTTGAACATCCTGTTCAAACTCATAATTAGTCAACATAATCATTAGTTGACCCAATGAACCAATGTGTTTATTTGGATTAAGAGCACAATGTCCTCCAAATGTCGTCTTTCATCTACTGAAGCATTAGTACGGGAGTATCTAAATATTGTGATGCATGGGCTCTGTTATTGAATTGGCATTACTGAGATATGCTTCTCTTCAAAGATCAGCCAGATAGGCAGAGGACGATCAATCTAATGTGCCATTAGAGGAATGAGGGAAGAGTGGCAGGTCTCCTGGGTGGTGGATGCTGAAGATATTGACAGGCAGATAGAGCAGAGCTGGACTGAAATGACTGCAAACAGTGGGAAGAAACAGATAGAGTAAGTGGGACAGATCGAGAGAGGCACACTCAATTCGAGAGAAGAGAAAGAGGAATTCATTGATTCTGTATTAGCATTGAGGTTTGATGCAGAAGGACAAACTCACACTCTAAATCTGCCCAAATCCAAATCTTAGGGCTTTTGCACAGCTGTAGTTTTTGTTGTTGTTGTGGTGCCCCAACAATAAAACATTTCAAATATTTCTTAGCTATATATTTTTAATATTGTGTAAAAACAGGCAAGCTCTACTTGTGTTTATACACTTTTTTTCAACGCAAACTTTCTTAAAAAAAAAAATAAAAATATATATATATTTTTTTTAATGTTTTAAAAACTATAATAAACTATGTACAACAACCTGTACAGGTCGGTGTCCTCAGCAGTAAATACATAAAGCACATTTAAACAAATGGTATTGTAGGAGAATAATTAAATTGTTATGATAAATAGTTAAAAATTACCTTTTAAAGTAAAAAGTTTAAAATGTTATTTAGATGGATTGTTGGTGATGGTATGGGTTCAGGTCAGATTGGGCACACTGTAAAACCCAATAAGTTAAGATAACTCAAACCATTTGAGGAAACCGATTGCAACAAATCATTCATTCATTCATTCTTTTCCGCTTAGTCCCTTTAATAATCTGGGGTCGCCACAGTGGAATGAACTGCCAACTTATCCAGTGTATGTTTTACGCAGCAGATGCCCTTCCACCTGCAACCCATCTCTGGAAAACATCCATGCCGAGGCTCGAACCGGCGACCTTGCTGTGAGGCGACAGAACTACCTACTGCGTCGCCTGCAGCAAATCATTTAAGTTCAAAAACTAATCCTAATGAGTACTGTGAACTTACTCCATTTGAGTAAAAGAAGCAATTTGAGCACAGTTAAACTTGATAAATGAAGAGCTCAAACCAACTGAGTACTGTAAAACCCAAAAAGTTAAGGCAACTCAAACCATTTGAGGAAAACGATTGCTACAAACCATTTTTAAAAGTTAAAAAACGAATCTATATGAGCACTGTGAACTTACTCCATTTAAGTTGAAGTAATGAGGTATTTAATCAACTCATTACCTTCATCACTGAGTTCAAAGCTCTTTTCAAATGTAGAATTAACTTTCAGTCAATTTTGAATTAACTACTCTCCTTTCATTTGATGAAGTTGACTGTTTGGTTTTACAGTGTAGCAATACACAAACAAAGGAAAATTAAGACTTGTATAAAAAATATTTATGACCTAGAACAAAATATTAATATAAATATAAATTTAAGACTTTTTAAGGCCTAAAATTAAAAAAAAAGTAAAGACTTTTTA